AGCCCCTCCCCGGTGGGAGCCCAGGGGGCGAGTGGTGGGGATGGAGGAGGAGGACGGGGCTTCGGCAACCCCCGGGGAATCCCCCACACACACCCCCGCCGCTCGTTCCAGCCCCATCCAGGCGCTCTGGGAAGGGTGGGATGGAGAGAACCAACGTGGAATCACTGCATCGATACGGTTGAAAGAGACCTTTGGGATCATCGAGCGCAACCGTTATCCAGCTCTGCCGTGCTCACGTCTGAACCGCGGCCCTGGATGGTAACCACCACTGCCTTGGGCAGCCTGTGCCCATCTTTGATCACCCTTTCCGTTTAATTTTTCCTCCTGTCTCACCTCAACCTCCCTTGCAGAACCTTGACGCCATTTCCTCTCATCCCATCGGTTGCAACCTGGGATAAGAGACCCACACACCCCTTGCTACCCCTTTATTTCAGGAAGTTGTAGAAGGTAATAAGGTCTCCCCCCAGCCTCCTTTCTTTGCACCAAACAACCCGAAGTCCCTCAGCTGCTCCTTGTAAGACCTTCTCAAGACCCTTCACATGCCCCAGCCCAAAACCACCAGATAAGCCCACCAAAGACACCTCCCAGCATGGACAGACAGGCTCACAGCAGTGCAGGCAGAGGTCATGCCTTGCCCCAGAAATAAGCCTAGGCCAGCACGCAGATTGAAGCCCACATAACATCTAAGGGGAATAACAGACCACATTGATAACCAGAGCCCCACAACACAGCCACTAACTGCACAGGCTGCCCCAAAAATTGCGCATCGGCCATTGCGTGCCGCTGGGTGCCCAGAAGCCCCAGGGCGGCTCTGCCTCTGTGTGCCTGTGGGCAATGTGGCTCCTGCATCAGTGAGCCACAGCCTCTCTGTGCTGCTTTTAGACCTTTTTATCCAATTACAGAAAAATCCAAAAAACCCTCAGGGATGTGCTCTCATCCAAATTATCCTCAGCTGAAAAGATCTGCAGAGGACTCAACACAGGCTGCTCCCAGCGATGCAAGGGCTGCTGGGGCGATGTGTGCTTGAACTGCCCCTTTCCCGCAGAGATCCCCCCTCCCCAAAACACTACCACTTCCCAGAAACCAGGGTCTGATCTCACCCCTTGCAGTCCCCAGCAGGACTGCATCTGATGGCCACGAGCCTGTGTCACTGATCCATCTCAACTGAGCATGACTTCACTCTGGTCGGCCCAGGCTCACTCTCACACTGCTGCTGTGCCATACCTGTGCGTCCGACACAGCTCTTCCCTTCCCGTTACTCTGGTGTTCCTGGGGTGCTATGCTTCTGTACTGCATGGTGCTTCATGCTCCAGCTCCCCCGTGACACCACAGGAACTGGGGAACACGGGGGTTGTTGGTGTGAGGGACAACTCATGCTGCACAGGCTTTGCGTGCTCAAGGCCATGCCAGCAGAGACAGGACAGACCCCCAAAAAATTGACTTCACACATGTACTCTATACACTGGGCTGTATTCACACACACATATATACACATACATATATATACACCAGACTGGACCCACACAACCTTTTCTTTGCCATAAACCCCACCATGCAGCAAGGTACATGTACTACAGGAAAATAGGTGCTAGACACCTTGTAGTCACACCAGCACAGCTGGGGGCTATGGGTGAACCTTAACACGCACCCACACCTTGTCCCATGGCCAGCATTACAGAGTTCACAGTGTGACGACCTGTTCCTACTGCAGACCTTCGCCACCAAGGCCCACATGGTGCCTCCCCTATGTGCTTCCCGTCTTGCAGGCTTCTGCTGCTCGTCCTTTCGCCTTCGGCTTTCCCGAGCTTAAAGGCTTCTTGGCTGCAGGCTGCAAAACACAGAGACATCAAACACCACACTCTCCTGTGAGAGCTCAGCACAGCCTCCACACCGCCTGCGGGGCATGTGTCACCTTCACTTCTCCCTCGCCCTACACAGCCCTGTCCCATCAATACAGCCGCCTACGCACGCATTGCCCTCCGGCTTCGGCAGTGGGGATGCTGCTGTGCCAGCGGTCAAACAGACCGGGCAGTTCCATGTCCCTGACAGATGGAGCTGGCTGCTGCATAAACCGCAGGGGCTGGGTATCACACGGAGCTCCCAGCTCTGCGCCTGGCATCTGCCTCGCTGATGCAGAGGGGCACGGACACTCGTGGTACCCGGCAGCCAGAAGACTCCACCTGCCTCACCATGTGTTTTTAACCCATCACCAAAGCTAGGTAAGTGTGTTACATGGTGCACACAGCTTCTGCTGAGACTCTGTGCTGGGCTCCTTCAGCTTTCTGGCTGTAGCAAGCACCCACGCAAGGGATGCCATCCCAACTTTGCCTTCTGAAGAATGGCTACAGCCCGGAGGCTCCTTTGCCTTGTCCTCAGCAAGACTCTGGATAACACCAGAAGTCATCTTCCTTCTACCTGCAGGACTTGACTTAACAATCTGACCAAGCACTGAGCATCCCGGCTGTACCTCTATCCCTTCTGCCTTCCTGCATCTCCAAGACAGACACAGCCAGAAGCGCCTTGCTGAGCTCAGAGGTGCCTGCTGATCACCGTAACCTGCTCACGCATGGGGACATGTCCTGGTGTCCTCACGGACTGACCTTGCTCACCCTCTCCTGCACTCTCACCTGGTGAGGTTTGGACGCCTGCAGCAGCCTCCTCTCCTGGCTCAGCTGCAGCTGTGTCCTCTCCAGGGCCTCTCGCAGCAGAGCCTTCTCCTCTGCCTCCCTGTAGGCTTCATCTTCCAGTTTGGACATCTCCTCCTGGCATCTTTGCAAGGACACTTGGTTCAGCCTGGCCAAAACAGAACGTGGGGTTTTTGTCATTGACCCTCCCACCTAAGCTCTGCCTGAGAGACGGCTTTTGAGCAAAACCACATTGTGCTTGTGTCCCTCCTAAGATCCCCCACCCCAGGATGGCACTGGACAACATCAGGGCAGCTAACACCGTGCGAGGACCTGCACCGTATTTTAGGAAGTGTTTTCCCTGCTCTGATTCCTTACACCATGGAAAAACCCCTCTCCTCCTGGCTTTGCTGAGAGCTGCCAACCCTTCTGTGCAGTGATGAGCCCACAGGGATGCTGCATGGCTGTGTCAGTGCTGCTGGCTTGGAGATGGCTATCACACCTCTTGCCTGCTTTGGCTATGGTTGCACATTAACACCAGTCCAGAAATAGCTTTCCACACCGCTTTTTTATGGTGCTGTGGTCAAAGAGACTTCTGCATTTATGCAGCGAGCAGCAGCAGGGCTTGCACAACCGCATGGCTTCCTCTGTGCTCCCCGACACATCCCTCCCACCCCTGGTAAAGCCTCTACTGACCCAGGGCATGGCCTCACCACATGAGGAACTCTGCTCAGGGTTCCTTGTCTCTGCCATAAGAGGGCCCCACCAAGCACCGCTGCAGGGAGCCCAGTTCTCTGTTTCTCCTAATAATTATTATGTTCAGACTGTGGCCACAACCAGCATTCATCGATGGCACATCCTGAACTGCTGCTTCCCCATCACTTGGCATCCCAGGACTGGGTCCTGCCTGGACCCATGGGCTGGCCCTGCCACCTCGCCCTTCAGTACCTGAGCTGCTCCATGCTGGTCTCGTACTCCCTCAGCATTTCTTCTTTTCTCTCCAGGCGACTCTTAAGGCTTCTGATCTTCTTGTACAGCAGCTCCAGGTCCTTCTGCCTCTGCATTGCTGCTTTTTCCCTCTCCTCCAGAGGAAGATGCCTCAGAGACTGCACTCCTGACAGCTCCTTCACCTCCATCAGGCTCCCCAGCGCACCAACTACATCAAGGTACTGCAGGAAGAAAAGCCAATGCATTATTTACTAGGCCTGCCACTTCCTCCGCCATGTACCATCACATCGCTCAGCCATCTGCTTTCATGCTGCTCCAGCAAGGGAGATTAAAATGTTGTGAGTCGGCTGCTGTGCGCCTTCCCCTATGCGTTATTTCCCTGTGAGCTTTTCTGAGCGCTCCTAAAAACCCATCCAGCTGGGGATCCTCTATGCCTTTGGGCTTGGAGGCCCTCGGAGAGGTGACACACCATGATGGAGCACATTCCAGCTCCTGGCCAGCCCCTCTCATCCCCAGCCTTTGAGTCCCAGCAGCAGCACTCTTTGGATTTGGGTTTTCCCTTTTTTTCACGATGACCCATTTTCCCTCCTTGACATCTTTCCGCCCTCTTAGGCCAGAGACCACTCTTTCACAGCACGCTCCCTGTGGTACCAAAGGACATCTCCTGTGGCACCCCCATCACTTCTGAAATGCGACTGACAATGATCTACCCTCTAGGAGCACTGGGCACCATTTTACCAGGTCTATTGCTGACATACCATCTTCTCGCCAAGGTCCATCACATCAGCCATCTCCAAGCTCGCTGCCCCACCAGTGGCCCCATGCAAGCCCCTGTTAGTTACATGGCCAAGAACCTGCACAGACAGGGAAAGACCAACAGAGCCCATCGATTTTGCCTGGCTTTGCCTTCAGCTGCATGGGAAACCCACCCTGGCAATGCCACTGTCCAAAGCCTCTCACCCCACTCATCCCTGAGCAGCGCTGCAATGGAGCTGGGCACCTTGCTGCTCCTGACGGGAGCTGTGACTCTCTCTGTGAGCACTGCCTTCCGTTGGGCTGCATCTTACATGCTGCTAAATTTTACATCTCCCCCTAATTCAGCACATCCCAAAGCCCGATTCTCCCTGTTCCAGGGATTACATCTTCCCTGAGGCCACCACCACAACCACAAACTGCCTTCGTACCTTGCCGGCCTGCAGCTTTGTTCCCAACTCTGGTGCAGGTTCCTTCTCGAGCCCCATTTTCTGGACTATTTTCTCTGGTAAGTCTTTTGCCAGGACCACCAGTGGCTCCAAGCTCTTCTTCAAGACAGCTGGAGGCAAAAAACCATCCCCAAATTGTTTGACTCTACATGTGATGTGCTGTGGCTTCATACCTCTGATGCTTTGAGCTTTGCAAGGCACCCCCTTATGGACACTGTGCATGCAGATGCCCAGGCTTTGGAGTGAAGCCTGCACCAGCGTTTCCCACTGACATCGCTATTCCTGTGTTTGGCCATTGCTCTCTCTATCCAACTGGGACACCTATTTTTTGGGTGGCATTTCAGACACTGCACCACAAACTGCCACTCCCCTTGTAGCTCCTAACGGAGACAGCACCACTTTTCCATCTGCCTGCCCTCAATACAGGGATAAACACGATGGAAAGGGATCAAAAGAGACCAAGACAGGGCCAGCATGAGACTCTAGTGATGTACAATCCTTGCTAGGCTTTGCTTTTTCCTATCACCTACACAGATTAACACGTGTCCGCATCAGAGCAGCCTTTGCCTGTAATCACCCTGCTCCCTTCCCCAGTGTTATGAGCTCCATTGGTGCAGACCCCAGGGTCTACCCGAGGAAAACGGAGGCGTCTTCCGTTTCTGGTGATGGCCATGCTTACCTGAGGGTTGCTTCTTCTCCAGCATCTTTATCCTCTCCCGGAGCTCGGCCAAGCCTTCTTTCTGGCGCTGGATCGTCTCCTCATGCCTGAGGCCTCGGCATTTCATGCCGAGGTTGGCCAAGTCCAACATTGGGTCCTGGAAGAGGAAGCCCAGGCGTTTCTCACCCAGACTGCATCTGAGTTGACACGAGCTTGGCTTAAATGCAGCATTGCTGAAAGATGCCGGTCACTGGGCATATGCCCAGAGCAAAGCCCATGAAGCCTTTCACCCTACACCCTCTGCAGGGATTTGAGGGTTGCATAGGAGTGTCGCAGACCCCTTTCACACTCTAGGAAGGACACGAGCCCCGCAAATGCTCCTGAAAGCTGAGAGAGGGATGGCCCGTGGGTCTGAACGGACACATCAGCATTTTCCTCTTGTGCTTTGTGCCACTGTGAAGCAACTGCTGTTTCCTAAGCACTAATACTGACAGACTTTGTGGACTGCATTTCTATACAACCTCATACATTATTCTCTTTCAAACTACACCCGTGCCCACACACACACATGCATTTCCCTATTCCAGCGTGACGAACACCCAAAAATCTAGGATGGAGCACGCACATCATCACCACCTGCTTCCAGCTAACGACAGCTTCAAACCACCCGCTCGGGTCCAGCCGCCATCGCCCTGTGGCACCACTTGGTGAGGCACAGTTTACTCCTAAACTGGTGATTTGGCTGGGCTGCACCTCCTTTCCCTCCCCATCGCTGTGTGCAGGGGGGACGGCGCTGCCTCCCGCTCGTCAGCTGGCCCTGAGTCACCGCCTGCCCCCACGCAGCAGCCCCCGGCGCTGGCTGCGGCACAGCCTGTACCATTCCTGCGGTCCCTCCATCTGCTGCTGCTGCCACCGCTGAGCTCTTCCCTTTTCTAGCACCAGGAAAACCAAAAGAGGATTCAGCTCAGGAAGAAAAACAACCGCCTTCATTCCTGTCCTGTGCAACAAACTGCCCTACTCCTGCACATCCAAGCCCTGTCACTGCTTCTGTGTCCCCAACACAGCCAGTGCCTTTGGCTGTGCAAGGCTGGGAAATGCTGGGAACTCTCGCAGATCTTTTGCCATACACTACTATCCCTTCTAATTGCCAATTATGGCAGTCATTAGCACACATCACAGTTCTAAGGCTTCACCACAACACTGAGAAACCCCACGTGTGTGATCGCTGCTCTCAGTGTGATACACACAGCCCAGACCTCAGCAACCTCTCTGTGGCCTTACCCTCTCAGAGGCTTTGCCCGCTGGTGCTGGCACCTCAGGAGCATCCTCTGGCTTTTCCACCGTTTCTCGGGTGGCATCAGCCCTCAGAGCCTGGCAGTCAGCTTGGGCTTGCCTGTGCCAAGAGACCAGACCATTGTGGGACATCGTGATAGAGAAAGGTCATTCAAACAGCTTGTGGAGAGCAGCACTCCGGGCACCCGCTGCTGACTACCATGGTGTGGGTGGCAACATTCACTGAGTTACAGGAGACTTAGTTACATGGCATGAGCTCTGCTAAACCCCCGTATCGCTTCACATGGCACTTCCAGAGATAAAACACCGCTGAGCTCAGTGCCACATGTGCCTTTTTCTCCTGGGGAGACACCCAAATGCCATCAGCTGCTGGGAATATACAGAGCAGTTTTGGCAACACATCAGGTCATGGTGGTGTCTACCTTAACTCTTCAGCTGCTGCTTTCAGGGCTTGATCCTTCTCCTGCACCAGGCTGGACATCTGGGACAGCTTCTCCCTCAGCAGGCTCAGGTCTCGCTCTTGGCATTTCACCCGGCTCTGGTTCCTCTCCAGCTCCACCTTCTGCTCCTCGCTCAGCTCCCCTGGACACACAACAGCACCATGGGTATTCAGCTGTCCCATCCCAGCCCTGGGGATCTGCTGTCCTCAGGGAAATGACACTCCTGGATACATCCCCTTTTTCTGAGAAAGATGGGCTCTGTTTTGTCCACTCATCTCCATCGAGGCACCTCATAACCCTCACCCAACAACATTTCCATCTGTAATTCAACTTAACTGAGGACAAGAAAAAATTCATCTACCCAAAGGGCATGGACCGCCTGCTTTGCCCTGAGCAGGTCAACAGCACTGCTGTAGGATGGCAACATCTACATCCCATCATCTGGCACCTACCCTTGACACTGCTTGAGAGGGGTGGGAAGATGGAGGCCGCACCGCACGCTGCACCCACCTCTCATGTCCGACATCCTGGCTCTGGTCTCTGCCAGCTCCTTGGTCAGTCCGGCGATGATGGCCTCTTTGGACAGGAGCACGCTCTGCGCTGCTGCCAGCTTCTCCCTGAATTTCCTGCAACAGGTAATGGCAAATCACACCATTCATTTGACAGAGTCATTTCACGGAGCCTGAGTACGCCTTTGCGAGCTGCATCTCCTGATGAATACACACACATCACTCCTTTAACTGCCTTTCATGGCCCTAGGTGGCACAAGGAGTTGCCAGCTCACTCCGTCTTACATGTAGTCATCCAGACGGGACAGCAGATCCCTCGCACACTGCCCTGCATCGCTTTGACACTACACACACGTCAGCCTATTTCGACCAAGCCAAAGGACTCTTTTGACCATCACCGACACAGACCACCTCTGGACAGTTGCAGTCAGCCCCTTGGGCTTCCACACACTCTCTGAGCAATCCCTGCCCTTCTTCAGTCCCTCTGACCCAGGCCACCCCTGGCCAGAGCCGCTCACCTCAGACAGCAGTGTGGCTCTGTGACAGGAGATGCCTCTGGCTGTGCTCCTGATGTCGACTTGAGGGCATCACCCCGAAAACCTACAGGACACAATAACAACAGTCAACGCCTTTGTAACACTTACACGTTTGGCCTGCTTGCTTCTGCTCCATCAGTCCTTTCCTTCACGACAGCTTTGAAGACTGAGGACCACTGTTTCTGGAGACCTGTGTGTCTCAGGCTCTAATTCCAACAGCATTTAAATAATTCCTTTCATCCTTCCTTGCTCGGGATCACTTTTGCCTCCATGCAGCCCAAAGTGCTCCAGACTCGTCGACTTAGACCAAGAGTCCTTCTCCAGTGGAAAGCTCTGTCTATGACCATGGCGCACTACCAACAGTCTCCAAAGCCCCCGAGTGATACACTGCAACTCCCCACGAAATGCCTTCTTCAAGGACTCACGGAGTCTGTCCTGCACACAGGCAAACCTCAAACCAGTGCTTTCCACAGCAGCGAGTGCACCGTTCCATCTCCGTATAAATTTCACACCACTTGGGAAGGTCCCCAGTACAGACTCACCCCACACAACCCTTCCCTACCTTCCAGTTCGGCCAGCAGCGCCGCCCTTTCCTCCTCCAGTGTCTTCTGCTGCTGCTTGGCCTCCACCAACTTCTCCTCCAAAGCCACAATCGTCAGGGAATGTTGCTTGCTTTGCTCTTTATACTCCGCTATTTCTTCCTGCAGTTTCCGCCTCTGGAGCTCATTCTCCTCCTGAAGGGCCCCGAGCTGCTCGTCTCGCAGGAGCACCTGCTGCTGTAGTGTCATCTGGGAAATGAGATGAGCAATCTCGGTTGGGAGCCTTGTATGTGTTTTCCTTCGAGATCCCAATCACCACCATCTCTCCTGGCTGGCATGCGGAAGGATGGAGGGAAGGGAAGGATTTCGGGGAGAGGAAAGCCTTCTTCACCAAAACTGCATCACCACCATACACTTGAGGTTGCAGAGGGCTGCTGGGGCTACCTCTCGCATTGCGGCTTCCTCCAGGCTCTGCATGGCTTCTCTCAGTTTGCCATCCGTAACCTCCTGCTCCTTTGCCTTCATTTCCATTGCCTACACAAGGAAATTAGCAGTAATTAAGTCACCAAGCTTGCAAGACTCCAGCTTTCTCTCTGCAGATATGTATCTGTCTGGGGGAAAAAACAACCCAACACAGCCCACTGATGGCCACTGACTAAATGAGCCGCCCTGCTACAGAGTGTCTTCAGATTTAATTACACCAAGCATGAGCAGTTCTGCTTTGCCTCCCTGACCTCAGTCATGCTTCTCAGGTGGCTTTCCAGCTCCTCGATCTTCCTGTTTTCTTCCTCCATGGATTGCTCCCACTTGTCCTTCTCCTCAGCGACAGCTCTCTCCAGAATCTGCGAATCGACAGCCCACTGTTTCAGTACAGAAAAAATCACATGTCTAGGCAAAAGACCTTGACTCCAACGAGGAAAGCAGCCCTGAGAATCACTGCTATGGAGCAGAGAAAGGACAAAGCAGAGCCCACCTTTCTCAGAAAAGAAAAGGGGATGCATCCATGAGGGTCATTTTCCTGAGAAAAGCAGATCCTCCAGCCCTCTTGTGGGGCTAGAGACTTCTTCCTCTCACTGGGCAACACTACTACAGATACCTATTTTTCCTGCATAACAGACATTTTCCTAAAAAAAAAAACCAACCAAAAAACCAAAACCTGTGCTGCCATACCTCTTTAGTCTCCTTATCCTTTTCCAATATAATTTGCTGGATTTTTATCTGCAGCACTTGCTCTTGTTTCGCCTCCAGCTCCTTCACATGCTCCTGCAGCAACGCTGCCTGTGACTCCTGGAGCCTCTCTAATTGGGCCTACAGGGACACAGCAGACACGAGAGGTTGAAGGAAGCGTTAAAGCAATAAATAAACACCCCGAGTACATTCACTAACAAACATTTCCAATAAGAAAGATACCCTCCATCCTTGCCCCATCGGGGATATGGGCTCTGCCACGCTGACAGCAAGCTCCGTTTTCTCTATTTCCCTGCATTTACTGCCGACCCCAAGACCTCTGCCATGGGGCATTCCCAATCTGGCTCCCACATCGTCTCGCTTTGGACTACCATCGTGTTTACCAATACAAATATCCCAAATCAACTCTGTTCACATACATATGTGTTTCTGTACCTGCAATATCTGATTCCTCTGTGCAGTTTCCTTACTGTTCTCCAACAATTTCCTGAGAGCAGCCAACAGCCCTGCAAAAGCCAATGGGATCTCGCTGTACAGGGAGGGTCACACAGCCCACATGAACCACCCACAGCATCCTCAGAGACAAGGGATAGCTGTGGAGACCCACCATGAGCCCAGAAACCTCCCCAACAAGCCTACAGCCCCCCTCACAAGCCTCTGGCTATGGGATTCAGGCTCAGAGATCCCCTTGGAAAGGCTCCTAAGGGTTTCGTCTCCACTTTTACTGCAAACCACAGCTCATTCCCACCCCTGGGAGATGGCTGCTATTGCTGAGACGTCTCTGGAAGGGAGCTTTGTGCCTGCGCCCACAGCCCAGATGCCTGTTCCCACCAGGAGCCTTGTTTTCGCTGTCACGCGCTGTCACCCGTTCTGCTGCATCACTCCAGCACTGCTGCGGGAGCTGCGGACGGCTCATTGCTGCACCGGGCTCCCGCTGCCATAATCACTGCTCTGCAAAACACAGCGGCCTCGCAGCTTCTCCTGGCACAATCTGCACCCTTGTGCGGTGCTCAGTGCTGCTGAGAGAGCAATGCTCCCCTTCCTGCACCACTGTTGGAGCCATCATTAACTGGCAGTGACACTCAGCAGCATGCGATGCTCTGCCACAGATCCACGCTGCAACCGTTGCTGAGTTTTAGTGCACCCTGCACTAAAACTGTTTTTTGGCAAACCCCATGCAGCAACTGCTCTGCTGCTCCATGACATAGGTGGCAAAGGAATGGGAAGACACAGGGATTTGCCACCTCAGGACAAGGGGTTCAGATATCAAAGAGCACCATGGCCTAAACTGTCACCAAGAAGCATTTCCTATTTGCCACCAAGGCAAAACTCACTTTGAATAACCACGACGTCAGTAGATCAGGTCCACCACATGCAGACATCTCATACCCCAAAGCCCTATAGATGGCACTGGCTACGTGAGGTGACCAGTGCCACCAAGGCAAGAAGTAAGAACATGTACATTGCCCGAGTAGGCTTCTTAGTTGCCGAAACTGCTCCAGATTTGCACCAACACAAGGGCCTGCCAACCCCAAGCCTATACGGGTAGCTCACACCACGCTTTCTCCTGTACCTCTACACCATTCCACCCAGAACAGGCAACATCTCTTGAACACCAGTGGGACTCAGACCTTTGCTGGAGGTGTCCAGGTCCATCCCTGCGCTGGCCAGAAGCTGCTCCGCGTCCTCCAGCCAGGACAGGACCATGCGCAGTGTCTCCACCACCACCGCCACGATGGCTGCTACGACAGGGCCGAGGCCCAGTGCCTCCAGTCTCTCCAGTTCTCCTCGCAGGCTGGCGCTGCTGCAGGAGCTCCTCAGGCACATCTGGAGACAGCACAGCTCACCAGCCTCCATAAATAGTGAGCTTATAGACGTGGCACATAACACAACTACTGCAGCTGCACAGGCATCTCTTTTTTTCTGACCTGTCCTCAAAAATTCCCTGTGCCCCCTATCACCTGGGCTGCCACTGACCACCAACATTTAGGACTGACCTGGAGCTCACACAGGGATTTAGTGAACACCTCCACATTTTCAGACACTTCCTTTTCCTTTGAGAGCCTGGAGCTTAATTCCTCCTGCAGACACTTCTCTCTTTCACGGCTTTGTTGGCTTTCTTCAGAGATCTGCCTCACCTTCTCTACCACCTGCCAAGATCACATGAAGAAAGAGGAGAATAAGGCATTACCTTAACATCCCTTTTTCTGTGGAGGGACATTAATTGTTTCATCAAGCAATGACTGAGCCTTGCTGCAAACTGGGAGCCCAGTCAGACTCCTGGGCTTCTCCCTGTTGCAGCCCACTGGCTCCATCCAAGCTTTGGGGGACAAAAAGGATCATTACCACCTTCACATCGTGGAGCTGTGCCATTAAACCGGGAGAGTTGCTGCACAGCTTATGACCTGGAGAAGCTTAGATTCTACCAGCACTACTGTGCAAGGAGCAGGCACCGCAGCCAACTCCAGCCAATTTGGGCTCTGGAGGCACCAAGCATCTCTGTGTGGCGGGGTTCAAACTCACCTGCTGCTCTGTTATGGCTTTCCCTGCACTTCCTGCTGCTGCCAGAGAACAAGCTCGCATCACTTGGGTTTTGAAGGACTCCAGCTATGGCACAGATTGACACAGGACCACAAAAATCACTGGAAATTGCTATCGGGTCTGCTGCACCCAACTCAGCACACATCAATGCCAAGGGTGTCTCAGTGTCCGCTGACACCGAGCCCCCATGCACGCTCCTGCCCTCCCATCCGCGTGTCACTTCGGCTCACACATCATTTTCACACATCTTTTTCACCATGCATTTCAGTTTCCTCCTCCTGTGCAATGGTTGGGACCAGCTGGGGACAGCTGGGGATGCCACCCCAGCCTCCCTGCAGGACATGACCACCATTCCCACCCACTCAGTGCTTTATGCTGCTGGATCCCAGCTCCTGAGGCTTCCACAAATGGCTGTGCTTGTGCTAACTTATGCAGCAGATCCAAGAATCCTCACCTGCCCTTAAAAGGTGGAGGTTGCCATTTGGATCTACTCTGCACAGAAACCAGGGTTATTTTCCAGACAGGGTTATTTTCCATAGCTTTTCCTGCCTCTCTGACTGGGGCTCCTAACAACTTAACACCAGCAAAACTTTGTGTTGCAGTTTAAGGGGGTAGACGACCCCCTCACTCCAAGCACAGCTTTATTCTGGAAATTTACTTTGCCAAGGGCTGTCTTAGCCCAGAGCAGCACTACCTGGGCATAAGGAGTGCCAGACAGCGTGACTACAATTACTGACTACAGTCCATTTCTGTATCCTATTAAACTTGCTACATCTTCTACGATGCCTACACAAATCCTTAGATAAGCCTGTTATACTGCACCCAATGAGCAGTTAAGCCCCATGCCAGGGTTTCGTGCTCAGGACTCTGCATTTCCTTTCCTGCACTCAAGCACAATGTCCTTCCCCAGGGGAAAGCCACATTTTTGCTGCCTACGGCCCAGCCCAGAGGATGCTCCCATCCTCGCCTTCTCCCTACCTGCTCCTTGGCCCGCGCTGCATCTGCTCGCAGCAGCCGCTCCCTGCGCCCCATCTCCTGCAGCTGCAGTGCCTGCCTGGCACCGGCCGCTCTCAGCTCCTCCGCAGCCTGCAGCGACAAGAGCATTCGCATGTCATGGCCAAAAATCACACCATAAGCACTTCTACCACCACCATCCGCTATTCACATCCAATGACTCCGCAGAGAGCTCTGCAATCACAGCAATCCTTTTGCAGGGGGGTGGGTTTGCAGCACTGTTTATCACAATTTTTTTGCCAGATTTTGGTCCCCAGGCCATCATCTATCCTTGACTTCCTAATGCACTGCAGATACCTTCATCCCTTGGGGTCCATGGCAGAACTTAGCACATTCTAGCCCTGCCACCCCTGCCAGGCGGACGAGGTACCTGCTGTGCCCCCCACCGCCGATGGTTACCTTGGCATGCTCAGCCAGCTGCTTTCGGGTGCTCTCCTGCTCGGCGTGGTGCTTCTGTGCCTCCTCCCACAGCCCCTCCAGGTCCCGCTCCAGCTCCCCGATGCGCTGCAAGAGCCAAAGGAGCAGGGCATCACCTCTCTGGAGAATTTCGACCCAAAAGTGGTAAGTTTTCCCCTTCTAACCCATTTTATTTACCCTGGAATTTAATTCTAACCCACATTTACTGCGGTTAGATTGGCTTGCAAATGGAATTTCAGCCTTACTATTTATGCATTTTCCTGCATTGTAACGTGGAGTTATAATTTTTACAAGAGTTTACATTTCCTTGGTGCTTTCTATTAGAGGGCTTGGGTTCAACACCACTCCCTTAAAATGCCAGTTAATTATTGTCTCGACGATGCAGTCCTGCAGTCACTGCTCTCCCCTGCGCTCCATCACCCCAAATGCCTCGACTCACCTTTTGGCACGCCATCGCTTCCCGCTCTCCAAGTTCACGCTGTGTTTCCTCCTTAATTCTAGCGCACTGGAATGGATGGCAACCAAGGAGAAACATCAGCAGGAAAAACATCATCATCACTTCTGCAGTTAATGTCACTTTAGTGCTATGGCCCAGCTATGTAATCAGACACCTAAAAATAGGTGGTGGAGAGACCATGGTGGGGTCATCAAGACACTGAGAGCACAAGCTTATCTGCACCTGAAAATGTCCTGATTAAAGCTTTGCCTGGCTGAGAGAAGGACAGATATCTACAGGGGATACCCAAAGGAGAGACATTCCTCCGGCCTCAGAAATATAATAACAGGGATTGAGGAAAAAGGACCACAGGCAATAAAAGCTGCTTAAAAACATCTAGGGTAACCTGCCTGGGATACTCACAGACATTTCCAGGCTCATCATCACCGTATGCGACTGCACCTTTCATTTCTGCATTTCCAGGTATTCCTGCATCCGTGGAGTGGGTTAAAACCACAGAGGGACACGCTCTGCCTCACCGTGAGTGCCACGGGCCACCAAGTGCCACTGGGCACCCAGCAGGATGCTGCCCTGGGACAGCAGGTCCCCTCCTGCAGGCAGCAGCTTGAGTGCTCACGCACATCCCCTTTCCACCCGTTAAAGGGTTTATCCACATCATCCAGCTCCAGAGAGCGGCTCAGCAAAGATGCTTGGCTGGGCCCAGGCTGGCAGGTGTGGTGACCTCTGCCTGCACCCCAGGGGCCCCATGTAGCTTTCCTGTTAATTAAAATTCATGACAAATCTCTGCTATCTCTGGAAAACTGCCCGGTCAGGCAGCCAAAACGCAGCGCCTGCTCTGTGCTTATTATGCAGGCGGTGCAGCTCTGCCAGCTGAGGAGGGAGCTGCCAACACAGAGAAACAACCTGCTGCACCGGCCGCTTTTTTTCTAAGGGAAAAAGCAGGCTGGGCTGCAGGGAGTCACAGGAAGAAGGGGTTTCCATGGCTTCTCAGGAGGATCTTGGCACTGGAGTGCTTTGGGTGTACAAACAGCTACTGTGCTTGCTGAAATCCAGGGCAGACTGTACCCGAATGCAGAACAAGGAGCAGGGTTGGGCTGGGGAAGGCGGCGCTGCTCCGCGGGCATTACACGACACGGATGCTGCTGCAGCCCCATTGCTGCTACAACCCATTGCTGCAGCTCTGCAACTCCTGACTGGGTGCTGCCAAGACCCTTGGGTCACAACTGCCCCCATGGAAATCCATGCAAATCACTGCTACCATCCTTAACAGAGAAGCACGACCCTTCTCATGCTCCTTTCCCATGTTGACCCTTACATGAGACCATAATTTACTGAGTCCCTCATCAGGGATGTTCACCTTGGCAGACACGACTGCGAGCTGATTGTCCTTTTCTCTGCTTTCTTTCTTCATTCTGTCAATGTCTTGCCTGAGCTGCTGCATTTTCTGCTCCTTCCCTTCAATCTCCCTTTGCAGGCTGCTCACCAGACCTGTGAAATACAAAACCTCAGTGAGCAGCAACCCAAAGGTGTCTCTGCAAAAGCCCCCAAGCCGCTGAGTGGCTGTTCTCCCCCTTCAGCAGCTGTCGCAGGTTCAGCTTTTGGCACTGCGCTGGACATGGCTCCGTGCCAGCATCGCTACCCGGTTCCTCAGGGCCTGCCCGCAGGATGAGCAGCTCTCACCGAGCCCTTTTTGCTGCGTTTCCGTGTCACATCTGAGGCTCTGCTGCCTCCTCCCCACCACGCACCGATGCTGCTCCCTTATCTCGATGCTGCTCCCTTATCTCGGGCAGTGCAATCCAGCAGAACGGATCTGCTATTCCAAATGCATTACAAAAGTCAGCATTTTGTGTGCCTGCTACATTCTTGTGCATGATACAGGCAGAGATACAGGCCGTTTGAAAAGGCTTGCAGTCCAAGGGGGCCTTTGGAGCCTGGCATTAAACAGCACAGCTTTTGGGTGCTTGCCCTGCAATCGCTGCTTAAGCCTCTTTTCCACACTGAAGTTCTCTGTCCCATCACTCCCTGCCTTCAGTCCCCAGTTTGATCCAGTGCTTCAGGGCCACTCGGCACCTTGGATGCTCCCTGCGACTCTCGCAGAGCTTCAGGGCACCAAAACAGAGGTGGGACGATTTCTATGAGCTGTTATAAATAACTTGTTGCCCAGACAGGCTTGTCAATGCTCGCTCACTATCAAGATCCAGTCCCAAGCCACTTCGTGCCCCTACCTGGAGCTCCAGGGGTACGATACCTGCTGCCAGCGCGTGGTCCCTCTTTGCCTTCTCACTTTCTTTCCGCAGCCTTCCAATCTCCAGGTCTCTTTCATAGAGGGAATGGCTGAAAACCTGGCTTGAGCCTTTCTGCAGGTTGCTGACCTAAAAAACACAGATGTACCTGTGTTTCTCACTGGATAACTTCTTATTACAGCCCCTTTGGGAGAGGGAAATCCAGGTCCTACTTTCAGGGATGCATATTTATCACTCACAAACGCAGCTCCAGAGACACTCATGTTTACATTTCTGCTGCAAAGGCAGTTTTTACCGTCCCTAGTGGAAATCGGGAGCGGGGGATTGCCTGTGCCACCCACTTCAGCTACCATCGCCGTGCAGACAGCACAGATGTGCTTCCCACTGCTCAAATGACCGGTTTCACGATGAGATTACTGGAGAGAATAGAACAACAAATCCACAGGTGGAGGAGGCTTTTGTCAGTGAAAGGAAAGCCGCTGGGAAGACAGGCACCACACAACATCTCATCTCGGCGCGGTAACAACAGTGATGCTGTCAGCACCCTGAAATTATCTTTCTCCACCTGGAACCTGCTTATCAAGAGCTCCTCTCCATGACAGACAGTCAGGATGAGCCCAGAGCATTTCACTGCCTCCTCCAGACCCAGAACAACATGAAAGGGCTGAATGTGGCTGGGATGGGCTGCAGAAGGTGCCTGGCTGCTGACCTGTGTGCCTGGGATCTGACCAACACCTTGGATCACCCTTTTTCCCATGCTGGAGGTGCTCAGGAGGACTCTGTCATGTCAGGACATCGAGGTCTCATGAAATGTGGGTGCGTGCCACTCACACATCCCTGGCCATGACAACTACAAGCCCTCCCTCCTCTGCCCAGCCACCTCTTGTCACCAGGATGCCAAGGGGCTGCACTGGACAGGTCCCTCTTACCCCAGGAGCCTACAACGTGCCTACATTTGCAGGAGAAAGACAAGCAAGGGGTCCAGCTGCCCAGCCCATGGTGGTCATGTGTGACTTTCCCCACTAGAGGCTGGGTGGGCTTCTGTTTCCCTCCCCACTGCAGCATTACAGACCTTACCACACACGTGGGACATTTACTTACCAGCCCCTTTAGAGCACACTTGCACAGAAAGCAATCAAATATGCCAAATAAAACATCTGGAAAACCAGTATCTCCCTCATTTCCCTTGGTTTCAGACATGCAATCTGCTCCTCCTAAAATCTGGATGTTAAACTGAAAGTACATCTGTATCAGGGAGGCATTTTCCACGCTCAGTGTGCACTGAGGCACTCAGTACCTGCTCCCTCAGGGCTTTGATCTCCTCCGTTTTGGCTCCCAGCTCCTGGTCGAAGGTGTGCAGCTTCTGGGTCAGCTCCACCTCGTTCCTCACCGCCGCCTGTGCCAGGGTCTTTGCCATGGCTGCAATCTCCTCCTGCAGATCCCTTATCACCGCATCTTTCTGCTTCGCTTCTGCTTCCAAACCAGGGAGGTGACCCATTTCCTTCTCCCCTTGCTGAAGCTTTTCCCGCTGTGGGGAGAGGATGAGTGTTGTCTGTCAGTGACACTGGGCTGCTGGTACCAACGCACGGCCATTGACCGCACAGACCCACTCGCCTTGGCTTTCCACATCCCTGGGAAGCCCCTTTGGTGACAGCCCCTGCACCCCACCAGGGCCTGTGGTCAGACACACACAGCCCTTAGACATGGTTTGCCAAGGACAAGGACAAGGATGGTGTCCCTCACACCTTCCCCAGCATCACCTTCTCCTGTGGGACAATAGCCACATTGAAAGTCTCCAAAAAAGGGGGTCTCCTCACACCATCGCCAGAGATGCTGCTTGAGACTGGAAGAAAGCAAACACCCCAGTGTGAGAACCGGTTGCAGGCAGCAGTCGTGCTTCTTGTGGCACCCCTCGTTATTGCAGGCTTTCTGTTCTTAGGCTTATCTGCTATGACCCTCGTTTACAGTTTCTGCACTCGAGGCAGCCAGAAACTGCACTTCAAAGGGGGAAACAACATCAAATGGGAGATGAGAATAGATGCATGAGTCACTGGTGCAGATAAAGTCAGCCACCACCCTTCCCAATCACACACAAGGAAAAAGGAAGAGGAAATGTCCCTCTTGGCTACAAGGGCAACAGCATTCCTCTGTGTGTGTGTGTCACAGCCCATTCCTTAACTGACCCAAATGTCACTGAGGACCACACACGGGCTCCGATCTGCTCCATGGGACATGGACTCACACCCAGTTGCTGCTGACGCTCATCACTTCCCAAAACTGCCTCTGCTCCCATCAACCCCACACAAGGCTACGTTGGTCAGAGAGGACACCAGGCTACCAAGCACCAAATTTGGCATCAGGAAGTACCTGGCCTCACCGCTGAGGTCCTATTGAATACATCTGGCGAGATGGTGGTGGCCATGCTCCTGGCCCAGGCGCTCATGGGCCTCTTCCGCGGTGGCGGATGGGGCACGTGGCCGGCAGGTCCGGTAGCCCAGTTGCCCAGAGAGCTGGGGGGCTGCTGCCACGGCAGGGAGGGGAGGTGGGGTGAAGATGCAGGTGGCAAGGGTTTGGGCTCCGAAACCACCTGAAGCTGCCCAGTCCACGCTGTGCGACGTTTCACAGGGGAACAGGACATCTGTTGGGGGAAAAGACCGCTCTGTCAGCAGGGATTTAGGAAGGTTTTCAGCCCCTGATGTGCGCGCATTATGTCGAACAAAACCATATCAGTGGAAGGAGAATTTTAGTCCTTTTCCATTTTCGTTGCCCAAATATTGCATTTCAATCAGCAATTCCAAATAGTTTTCTAAAATCACAAGAAATTATTTGAGTTTGCTGCCTTTTGAGTTCTTTCCTCTCTAGATTTGACCACCCTAATTCTGCATTTCATTTGCCAAATCTGGAAGCCCTCAATTCTCGCCTCTCCTGATCTCCTTGTGCGCAGAGCTCACCTGTATGGTAGGGACCAGCCAACAATAAGGTCTTGTATGCTGACTTACACATTGCTCTCAAATACAAGGGCTGAACTAAACCGAACTGCACATCTGTCAATGTGGCTGTGGACTTGGATGTGGATCTCCACTACCCAGCTGTTATCCTGGAGTCTTACCAAAACGGAGCCCGGAGCACATTCACCACAGCTCCAGCACCTTGTCCTCTCTCACAGCACAGCTAAACCCTCTCGTTTTTGCCAGTGATGCTACCCTGGGCACTCACTCACAGCTGGTTTCCACCACAGCATGGTGCTGTCCCTTTCTGAACACTTGTTCCGTGCCCTGAGGCACTGCAGGGATGTGACTTCTACCTGGGTGTCGCTCCTCTTTACACTACATTCCTCTAATAGTACTGAAAATGAGAGAGACCTCCCCAGATCACACACAAATCCTTCACAGGGTGCAGCAGTGATTGACTCTCTGCGCTCGGCAGGGCACAGCTTCAAAGGAGGATCACAGAGCCCAGAGCAACGAGGAGGCACCACAGGGCTTCCTCAGCGTCACGCCGAAAGCTGCTTTTCTGGGTGCATCCCACACACGTACTTTTGGAAGTTAAAATGTCGATGATTCCAGCGACCACAAATTTACCAACCAGCACCAGTGCCCCAGCTGCTTCATCATGCAGCTGGGCTTTTATCTTTTTAATCTTCTCCTGGCCAAGGCTTTCTGGACAACTCCCAGGTCAGCTCTGCCATCCCAGGGACCTCGCTGACACCTCCAGCACCAAGATCCGGGTGTAGGACATGGCTGACACCAGCAGAGTTTTTGTTTGCACATGGGCACTGCCAGGAGAGCGGGCTCTCCGACTCCTGCTAACAGGCACACAATACACAGCTTTCAAGGACTCTGATCCAGTGTCTGTTTTTGAGGATACTTCAAGAGCCAAAATAATACAAATAATACCAGATCTTGTCAATCCTTACCTTTATAATAACCCAAAAGCTCAGAGACACCCCTAAGCAGTTTTTTTCCCTGAGAAATGAGATTGACACTATATTCAACCAAATTGTTTCCCAATTTACAAATGCTGTGGGTTTCTTGTGCCTGCAGAGGTCCGGTTGCAATGCCCTGGTCATGCTGAGCAAACCCCTTGCTATGTCCAGCTACCCACGCTGCTGCCCAGGAAAACCCCGGTTGCAGCAGCACCTTTTACTCTGCTCTAGGTTGAATCTAAAACCTAATTCCTCTGTTAGCGAGCTTTGGGTAAAAATAAAACGCAAATAGAAAACAAGGACATTTTCCAGCCCTACCTTTTGCCCAACTTGCTATTGGGAAACCTGTCCTCTGTTTTTTCTTTTCTCAATTATTTCAGCAGAGGGAGCTCATACTTTTTGTTTTCCCCCACCACCTTTCCCAGTGATTGCCCAAAAAAGCCTGGAGTCCTCCCCTGCTACCGGGACCATCCCTGGGCACCAGCACCACCCTTTACCTGGGCACCCCCATCCACCACCAGCTCGAAGGGTGCTCCACATGTCCCGAAACGCAGGATATCCCCCGGCTTCACTTTCACAGCCGCATTTTGGACTTGGCAGCCATTGACGAAGGTGCCGTGGAGGGAGTTGAGGTCCTGGAGGGTGAAGCTGCCATCGGAGGCGGTGAATTCGAGGGCTGCGTGCTGCTCTGCTACACCTGCGGACTGGCAGCAGGCAATCAACAGGCGAGCAGGGAAACCTGCCGAAAAGTAGCTCTGGTTTTCTTAGAGATTTGCCAAGCCCCCTTCCCTCCTTGCTGGGCAACCCAAAACACTCCCCGTTTTACCACCATCAGCCTCCCCAACCCTACCTGCAGGACGATGTCGGCCCCTTCGTGCCTGCCTATGGTCGTGGTGTGTGGTCTCAGCAGAAAACACCCCTCTGGACTCCTTAGGAAGGCTCGCATCTTCCAGGCTCTCCAAAAGCGAGGCTCACATTAAAAAAAACAACAACAACAAATCACCTACTCCTTTAGCAACCCCCACCCAGCACAGGCAACCGAGACAAAAACGTCCTGACCAACTCCTGCGCTAAAAATCATCCACAATCACTCCAAAGGCAGCTCTGCCACTGCCGGCAGCGTGGCTGTAGCCTTGGAAACCCCGGCAGCGCTGGAGCCCGCTGCTGCCCTCCTGGGTGTGTTTCAGTCTTTGTTTTGTTTGGGATTTTTTTCTCCTTCCTTCTCCTTTTCCCAAGCAACTCGCCCAGCACCACAACACGGCTCCGTGCCGGCCGCAGCTCTCCTCACCAGTGGGTCACGCGCGTGGGAACATTTCTCCACGTAGCCAATAACTCACAGGGGGCCGTGCAAGCTGCCAGCGAACGTTTTTTACCCCGTTTTACTTATATTTTTACTTTAATACCATGCACACACACACAAACGGGTCTTGTAATCTGCAGCAGGTGGATAAACGTTGCTGCCTGGTGCTGGGGACGTCGTCACACAACGTCCAGCTGAAACACAGAGGAAGCAGAGCCGAAATTCACCCTTTATAACAGGTCTGCACCCCTCGTGAGCTGCGTTACCTTCCAGAGATGCTGAGACACGTACAACCTTAAAACCTGTATGGGTAACACATTTCTCACCTGTGTCTTACCTGGGAAAAACGTTTCCATCACGCTCACCTTCAGGAATAACTTCTCCAATACATCACAGTGACATTTCCATTTCACAAGGGGATGAGCATCCTAGGACAGCGATGGTCACAGGTTTGGGAGCACACGTGTTCCTCAGCATCCCACGTCCATCTCTGCTTGCCACACAGCATCAGAGGGCAGGTGTGCCAGTAGCTGGAGATGCTCACCAGCCCCTTGGGCATTTTGGCCATAGTTCCTGCAGTGATCCCAGCCCGTTTCGCTGCAGTCACTGTGCTTTACTTATTTTTTTTCAGCCCTCTTCCTACACGAGACACTGGGAAAGATTCTGCTTTCCCCAGTCTAGTTGACTAAATGGAACTTTCTGGTTATGAAGCACTGTGAAAATTCAACTCCCAGCTGCTGAGACAAAAAGCTTTGCTTTATTAACCCAATATTTATCCGGGTTTTCTAAGACAACTGCTTGGGTTGCATTTCTTCACCAGGGAAAGGATACTTTGTGCACTGCTCTCAGAGGCACACGTGTCTGGGAGTCAACTTCCAGGAGTTGTACCACCTTCCCAACCCCTCCACAACAACGAAACCACAAAGGACTCCCCCACGCCTCACTCTGGGGTATACTATTCTATTATTCTTTTCCTTCCCTCGAAAAAGGGAATACCTTATTAAGTGACATTATTTTGCCCATTTGAGCTCACACCATCCCTTGAGGCACAGCAAAGTGAAATTCCTCCACTACAACAACAGAAATTAAGAGATACAATAAGAAATAACCAACAAGACAAGACTGCAATGCGGATTTGGTCCGGCATCCCTTCTTCATTTTCTTTTTGGCCACTTGCACTCCTCATGTACCTTTCACCAACCCTACCACCAAAAACCAATGTCTGCTGACCCACCCATACCCCCCTGGATATCAGCATCATGCCCACACGGCCACATCCGTGCGGAGGCAGAGGGCAGACTGCTCACACCAAATTCTGCTACAAATCCACGGGAGATCCCGCTCTCTACCCACACCTTCCAAAATTGGACCAGGATACACCCACACCTTCGCTGTCGACAGCTTGTGGGAAGCCCCAGAGCAGCATCCAGCCTAAACCTGCCAACGTGTCTCACACCGCTCTGGCTTGTGAAACCTGGGAATTGCCAACTGTGCCCGAGTGTGCACACACACACACACACGCACACACACACCCCAACGCAACGTACAAAATATTTATTGGGAAGCGGTCTGCTCGCACCGCGCTCAGCAGTCGTTACACCCCGCTGCCTCCTGGCAGAGCTGTGCTCCCACAGCTCCCGGCCCCCCGGATATATCCGCTTGCTGCAAACGGAGCAGCCCTCCACATCGGAGCACAAAACACACCGAGGTGAGGGCTCCATCCGCTCCCCACAGGGCCCATTTCAGCCCCTTGGCAGGAGTCAGGGCTGGCCCCGGGCCACCATCCCAGCCCCAGACGGGAGTGGGGCAAAGCTGTGGCACTACTGCGGCAACACAGTTTCCCTTCCTCAGAAGGAAAAGGCACCAAAAAGCCCAGGAGCATTGCCCTCTTGGAAATCCCTGTTCAGGATCGGTTTGGTGGCTTGGAAGAGTCCGGCTGTGGCACGAGGGTGAGGAGATGGGAAGATACTTTGGATGGTCCTTCAGTAAAACACCACAAAACGCACGGTTAGTACTCCCAGCCTTCATTTAGTCCCGAGCAGCAGAGCTATGGGCATTCTGGTTTCTTTCCCCATGGTTTTTGTAAAACCCCGTCCTGGAGGAGGATGGTCCTGTCACCCACCATGGCCTCCACGTGGCAGCTTCCAGGGAGCCCTGACCGCTCCTGCACCCACACACTGAGCCCCTCTGAGCAGGGTTTTCCTTAAAATAAACAACCTACACATAAAAAACTCAGCAGCATCACAGATTCCTCTTGCTTTTAAGTCATTTGCTGGCTTTCCAGCGGTTTCTTCTGGATCTCCTCATACTTGGGTGGTGGTGTGAGCGGCTCTATGGTGATCGGGGCCACGCTGTTCCCCTCCGTGAGGTTCAGCCTGATGTCCTTCAGGTGCAGCTTCTCCGATTTGATTCTCCGCACCTTCAGCGGCTTCAGGCGCTTGCTGAGGCGCGAGCTGTGCCGGCCGGGCGGCTGCTCCGGGCCCGGCTCCGCACCGGCAGCTCCTGGCACTTGGGTGCTTTCGTCCAGCCCTGTCAGCGACTCGTAGGAGGGCAGGGAGACGCTGATCCTGTTGCTCCTGTCTGAGTCTCTGGGCTCCGAGTAGCCCATGTTCATCACCTCCTCGTAGCTGGGGACGTAGTACTGCGAGGATGTGTCTTCATCCTCTTCTTGACTGCAGGAGAAAAAAATTGGGACCATCAGTACCACATCCATTCAGCTCCACTGGGGGTAGCAGATGGAGAGGAGAGAATAAACCAACTCCCCTAATTAAAGCTTATTCCATTATGTGCCCTTTCACATCGTATACCAGTTCCTTCCAGTTTTAAGAGGCCAGAACACAACTCCACCCATACTGGGACACGTTTACATCTCCTTGTGACGTTTGTCCATCTCTTATCACGGCTTTCTTTGCCCACAACACCTCTTTTCCCATTGCACAGCAGTGACTTCTCCCTGCAGCAGAACACCAGTCTCTCTGCTCCCCTCTCGACATTCACTCAGAACACGTTTAGGGACATCACTGCGCTCTGTCTTTGCCATTGGGATGGCTTTTGGGTTGGGGATCTACCTTGAGTTTTTCTGCCTAGAGATCTGGCTCTGCAGTGCATTACCATCTGCAGTGCCTGCACACATACTTGGCATTTCTCTGGATTATGAATTTTCCTTTAGAATCTAACAGGGAAAATAAGTTTTCTGGGTGGAAAAGCCTGCAGAGCCCTTTGTCTCCTCCTGCCACCTCACCTCCCACTTTGTCCCAATGTCCCCCTGCTCCTCTTTGCACCGGTGCAGGCCACACCAGGGACCTTGCAGATTCCCCATGCTCCTCCTGCTCCTGTGTTTGCTCAGACCCTGCCTGCTGCTGCTGCAGCCTTTGCCCGGTGGAGATCCTTGAGCAAACAGCAGAGCCCTGCAGACTTTCACCAGGTCTAAACTCCATCTCCAGCCACTGCTGACCTCCGGCTGCACCCAGCGAGGCTGCAAACTCTGCAGCTCTTGCTCCTCTCTCTCCACAGTGATCCTGCTCCTCCATGTTAACCATTAACCACGGCCCCTGCGCTCCCTCTGGGCACACCAAAGCCAGGAGTGGCCCATCCCAGCAACACTGGCTTGGCCACGGCTCCATCTAGACCCCAGCTTACACCAACGAGGCTTTCTTTCTCCTACAGCACCGTAAATACAGCTGGAGTTATTCCTTCCCAATCTCTAAAGGATATTTGAACCCCAAACCACAAGACATGCTTGACTTTATTTGAGCACTTGCTGCTTTCAGCCTTACTCTCTTTGCTCCCAACCTTCTTGAGGCTCTTAGTTTCACTCTTACACCCAATCCCGCTCCCGTTTCCCCCAAAAGGCTCGCCTGTCTTCCTGCTGCGAGGGCTCTGCAGACACCGGGCGCTGCACGTGAGGGATGTCTTCGCTTTGCCTCTTCTTGTCGCGGATGTTGAGGCAGATGGAGAGCAGCAGCAGCAGCACGCCCGCCCCCACCAGCACGTAGGCCACCGAGAAGGTCTTGCTCTTCATAATGCCCCCGGTGCCGCGGTCGGGCTTGCTGCTGTTCCCGGCGTGGGCCGTGGGTTTGTCGGTGAAGCCGGGGACGAGGTTCCAGACGGCCATGATGATGCCGAGCACCAGCATCCCCAGCCCTATGGCTGTCAGGGCGTAGTGTGAGCCGTTGGCTCGAGACTGGGCCATCGCTCCTGCTGCTAGCTGGCCGGCCGGGCTGCCCCCTCCTCACTGCATGGCTCGGGACTGGGAGGCTGCAGTCCTGCTCGCATGTGGGTGGCCCTCTCCCCAGGCAGGCAGTGAGCTCTGGGAAGAGATGGAAAGCGATGGTTAGCGCACGGCGGGATGCACGAGCCACACGGCTCTGTTCTGGTGGCCACAATAACATCACTTTAGTCCATTAATGCTGGAAACCTAATTCTACCACACCTGCGAAGAGCACCTCAGGACACAACATTACAGTCAGCAGCAGGATCCTTGCTGGCCACTCTCATAGTGACCCTTTGCTACTTTTTCAGCTGCAACATCCACCAACCTTAAAAAGAACCAAATTACCAACATTCGCTAAGGACTTACATTTCCCATCCTTAGCAGTGATAGAACTGACCTCTTCACAGCACCAAAAAAACCCACCAACAAAATA